TTTGGTCTGAGCCCGGGCCCTGAACCGGAGCCACAGCAGCCACCTCCCCACCCCATCTGTCTCCCCAACCTACATCCCCTTTTATCCTTTGCTCTCTCTTACTTACCAGCAGTTGCAACTCCAGCCCCGGTGTCTGAAGCTGCTGCTGATACAATGGCTGCTATGTGGCTGGGCCAGGGCAGCAGTGGGAGCCATCAAGGAGTGAGACTACATAGGAAAGGTGGGGCAGGCATCAAAGTGCACAGACACCAGTGCAGCAGGCAGTAGGGAGACAAAAGTGGGGGAGCAGGGGAAGGGGGAAAAGCAGTGGGGGTTCAGGCTACTTGCCCCTGCACAGACTGCCCCCATCACTACTGCTTTCCCTGCTGTAGCAGTGGGGGTTGAATTTAAGACAACCTTACTATAATCAGATTCTAGATTATATTAAATTATAATTTTCCATATTTAAAATCTAATCACTGGGGGGATCATCTTAAAATCAAATTTGGCTTGTATTCAGGTAAATATAATAAGAATCATTCCCTTTGTCTCTCCCCTGTCTCTGGAATAAGATAGCAGGAAAAAATAAGCTCTTTGCAGTATTTCTGGCTTTAAAGGTTTATTAGATGTACTACATACTAAACAACTGTTCTGCCTTGACTCTAAACTAACGTTCTCTAACCTGAAAACAATTGATTACGGCTTTGCAATCCAAACTGTATTTTCAATCCTGGACCCCTGAGGCAGCTTTCTAAGAAGCTAAGTATTGGACATCGCACCCTGATCCTCAAGCCAAATTTTATGAGGAACTTTTTTCACATAACTGTGATCTGTTCTTTTTTTTTGCTACCCAGCTGATTTGGAAGTTTTGGTGTTGCACAGATAGTCTGTCTGGGAGAAAAAGGAAAACATGCTGGAAATTGTGAATACTGGTGACCCTGTAATTTTCAAGTGTCAGACATTTTTAGAAGCAGATATTATATTTGGTCAACTACAGCATCAATTTAATAATCCAGCCCTGCGCTGAGAAAAAACCCTGACTTTGGAAGCTGAAGAAACCTTTTGCTAAATATAGTAGCAATGGCTATTAGTATGAAAGGTGAGATTCTGACTTTTAAAGTGTCTAGGATGAGGTGAAATGCTAAGTTGAAGTGAAATTCTACCTTACAGGAACAAACAAATGACCACATGTTCTTGTTTGTGGCAGAACAGGTTTCTCTGCCATTGAAGTTTTAGTAAGAGCCTGAGACTTAAAGGTTGTCATTCAGACAACTTTTAAAGGATGCTTAAAAGTGGGATGCTTCAGTTTTTCCCGTACAAGGCCATAGATGACAGCCTAGATACGTATGAGAAATGCTTGGATATTTTACTCAATTTAGCCATCCCAAAGTACAAACTGGACCAGGGAGATTTAGAATTAGAGAAACTGGCTAGTGGGGTATAATCATGTGAGACTCTGGTGACTGATTAGCATAATGAATCTATTCCTGTTATTTGCCCAAAAGCTATATGTGTTCTTTGAATATAATATTTATTTATGAAATGTACCTAATTATGACTTATTTTCGCTTGCCTTCCGCAACTAACTGCATCATGGTGCAATCTATTTCCTGATTTAATCACATTCCCAGCATTAAAAAAAGAACCAATAATATCAGTACAGCACATGTATGCACAAGGGACAAACTACACTGCCCCCTGTTCAGCTGTCTTTTCTCACCCCCTGCCCTTTAAATACACTATCTTAAATCTTAGGTAATAAGATGACAAAATTCCTCAGCTCTGCTCAGTAAGTGCTATATGTAGCTGAGTGAGGCATCAGCACAAATATGCAACCCTTTGTAGTTCCCTGAAGCTGAGACTGGATTTCTGTTGACCCCATGCCCAGCATAATTTAGAGCAGATTTCACATCACCGAGGTCATCTACGTTCTTTCACTCTAACAATTTATTTGGCTGATCGTAACATTGACGTGAAAATTTACTCCGCACGTTCCAATGACACTTGTTAATTCATAGATAGGAACTTCTTCAACATGTCTATTATATGTTCTTTACCTAACCCGGGATGTATATTAGTGACATGTATGTTGACTGACCTTATCGTTAGGCCCTCTGGGTTTCTGTTAAAACAGTTGCTTCAATTTTAACATGAAATTTTCACATATCATCATAGCCATGAGCCAAATATAGGAACTATGAGGGTAATAGGTAAGCAAGATTCTTTGGGTAACTCCGATATCTTTTATTACACCAACTAAAATAGTTGGAAAAAGTCTTCTTTGCAAGCTTTCGGGTACAAACATCCTCCCTTAAACAAGCACCAAACCTCGCCAATCTTATCACCGGAAGCAAACTTCCTATGGCCCAAAACAGTACCGAATGGATCTAGACCATGGCATGACAAGAAATGTAAAACCTACCACTATATCTCCACCACCCCCACAATAACTACACTATACAACACAACAGAACTGTCAGCATTCCTGGATCTTACACCAGCCCTCCAGAAATGTAATACATCTCATCCAGTGCACCAAATGCCCTCATGGAAAATATGTAGGAGAAACCAAACAAAAACTGCACACCAGAATGAACACCTACTGAAAATCTATCAAAGACAAGAATACCCAATTACCGGTGGGGGCACATTTCTCACCAGAAAACCACTCTCTCTCCATTCTCTCAGTTCTAATCCTCAAAGGGAACTCATAAAACATGAGACTATGAACTTCACTCATCAACCTACTGGATACAAAAAATCATGGGCTAAATATAGACATTGGATTTATGACACATCAGAACTGGCCTAACATTTGATACCCCAGATAACCTCTCTACTATTTACCAGCTATATTCTTATCACCAGGTCTACATTCCCCTTCCCTGCCCCCACCTGTTTCACACCCATCGCCTGCCTCAATTTGTATTTTCACTGACTGGCATTCTCGCATACTGGCCTCTGGCTTTTCTATTCCATCCAGGAAGAGCACAGACCAACTGCAGACACCTCCTCAGCCTGATGAAGGGCATTTGTACCCAAAAGCTTGCAAAGAATTTTTCCAACTTTTTCAGTTGGTCTAATAAAAGATTTACCCAAAGAACCTTGCCTGCATATGTCCTTAGAGTGGGGTTTTTGTTTTGTGAACTGTCCAGGGCCAAATGGGTAACCCTGCCCCCAGTCTCCATATTGGGACCAGAAGTCCCGCCCCCAACCCCTGACTTTTGCCACAGAAAGTCTCCACCCTTGGCACAGAAGTACTTCTTTTGGGAGGGAGGATGCTGCAATCTTGAAACAGGAAAAAAAACCCAAATTGTATGCAAAAAACTAAAAAAATCTACTAAAGCTTATTTTAATTTTATTTAAAAATATTTTTGTACTGATTTATGAATTTGCAAAGTGTATCTAGATGTGATTGCATAATAGCGAGATGGAGCTGGGCAGGCCTTGCTGCTCAGCTGCTGGGTCCTGCCACTGGCTCTGCTTGGGTCCTGCTGCCTCCGGCTCCCTGTCATCTTTGACAGGGAGCCAGGGACAGATAAAAATTAATTTTCTAAAATTATTAGGGGGTCCATGGACTGGATAGAATGGCTTGGCGGGCCAAATCTGGCCTATGGGCCATATTTTTCCCACCCCTGCCTTAGACCAACATGGCTACAACCTATACCCCTGAAATGAGGGTAACTGAACATTTATATTAATTACATAATCTATCAACATACATTTTATCATTAATTACTAGCAGTTATTTCAGTTGCATAAGATTATAAACTTGCACCTTAACTGCAAATTAATGAGCATCTGGGGCAATCTTGGAAAGCAAGTATAGAGAGTAGCAATTAAGTAGTCTTGCCCATTGTAAAATATAGCTTTCTAAGTTTTGATATTGTTTAGAGAGATGGAGTAGGATATTACAGTATTCCCTAAAAGACAGTTGCAAGTTTAATGTAAGGATGAAATAGCATGATATAAAATAGTAATCACAAATAAAGAAGCTGGAATCCTATTAAACTTGTAGTTCTAATATTTAAAGTGACTCCAAAAGAAATTCACTTACTGATTGAAACTGAAAGCTCATGTTGTCTATACATAGCTTTAAAAAAGTAATAAGGAATCTCTTACCAGAAAGTATAAATACAATTTGTGTAGATTTATTTCTGAAGTTTCAATATACATGTTTCCAGCAGTTGCAGATACTGGCTTAATACAAAAACAGTGTCTGCAGTTGTTAATACATAATTTACTGGGATAAAAAGAAATTTGGAAATGTATTGTTAAATGTTCCTTAAATACAAATGAATCGGTTCCACTAGTTAAATAACATCTCTTCATGCCAGTTAGACTGCTCTCCTTAACACTGAACTTAATGTACAGGCTTAGTGGGGTGGGTAGGTAGTTTGGCTATAAATACTAATATTTCGCATTTAATAATGATGGTGGGCAGATTTGTGCTACTATGTTACTTTTAAATGTCAAAATCAATCCTTTCTATAATCTTTATCCAGCCTGCACATGAATTCTTTGCAGCATTTCCTCCTCCTTATTTGAAGCTCATTTCATTTTCTACAATTTCCATTAGCTAGATGCATTTCAAATCAAATGCATTTCCTCCTACATAAAAACAATTACAACTGATATATACCTCAAATAAAATGTTGAGAACTTGTTCTGTCTGCATAAGAAGCTTTCTTATTACAATTTAAAGGTTCATTTAAATCTCAACGTGTATTATTAGCTAAGTAACATAGCTGTAATGTTCTTTCTCTTCTTGGGTGGGTAGAAAGCCATGCTAGACATTGTTAGCTACTCTCTTAAAGACCAAAAGTATTACTATAATCACAAGCAAAAGCATTCCTATAATAACAACCAGCAATCACAGTATATTACCAGAATTTGTCATTTGCTTACAGTCTGTGCCATCTCATTACCAAGAAGAACTGAAGAAACCAGGAAGAAATGCAAATAGAAGCAAGAAAAAATGAGTAAGGCTTTGATTTAGAAAAAAACACTTAGGCTAAGTACAGACATTCAAAAAACCTGAGCCTGAATCGATTCAGTCTTTGCAGGTTAGTCTAATGTAGCCACACACCTGCAGTGGCTCAGGCTAGAAGCCGGGGGGAGGCGGGAGTGCTAGAGTGAGCTCTTCACAGTGGCTGGAAAGCTGGAGGGAAGTTGAGCTGGTGGAGGGGGGGAGGTATGGCTAGGCCCTGGCAGGCCTGAGTATGATTGGGGAGAGGTTTAAACTCCTACCCTGGCCTGCAGGGACGCCACCCAGAGTGTGCCTGGAGGGGGGGAGGGGAAGCAGCCCTTTCCAGATTTCTGGGGGTGGGGGACTGTTGCCAGACCCTGGTCCCCAGATGGCAACCCTGGGTTTCTTAGGGCCCTAGTCAGCAAAGTATTTAACTACTGTAAGTTGTTTTAAGTCAATAATTAATAAGGCTATGCTTAAAGTTAAGCTGTGCTTTGGACTAGGGACAAAGGTTATCCATAAACCGGTTTAAGTGATCAGAAACTGGTTAAAACCTGTAACAGAACAGAAAATCAGTTCACATACACAGTTTTCAAAATGGCCAAAACTGGTTTATGACAAACCTGGTTGAAAGTAGTATCAGACTTAATTGGTTTAGTTCAAACTGATTTACAGAACTTCTGTCCCAGAACTAAGGGTGTGCCAAACAGGCCCTATTCGATTTGGATTCAGATTCAGCCTGAATCAGGGACGATGATTCGATCTGTTGATTTCGATCATTGTCCCTGATTCAATTCGACCAAATCCAAATCTGATGATTCAATGCTGATTCAGTGAATTCGGACACAGGAACAGCTTTAAAAGTTTTTTCTACATACCTTGAGGTGGCAGCATGGCTTGTGATCATTGCAGTGCTTGGGCAGACGAAGCATCCCACAGCAGTGTGGGGGGCTCTCCAGAGTGCTCAGCAGTGAACCTGGAAGTGGACCGGAAGAACTTCCAGTCCACTACTGGATATGCTGGGGAGCATGCAGGGCCCACCACCATGCAGCGCCCACCACCACGCAGTGCCCCAGCCAGGGTCTGCTTGGCTTTGCCCCTTGCTCAAGTAGTGAAAATGGGGGCATGACCAAACCCTGGCCCTGGGCCTGAAGTGAAGGGGGGAAAGGAGGGAGGAAGCAGAGAAAAGCAAAGCTGTCAGGGACCTCCAGAATTTCTCTAGTGTCTAGTCCAGCCCCTGCCTGAGCCCTTGCCAGACCCTCCCATATAAGCACAATCTAAAGAGTAGAAGGTTTGCTTGCAGCACCCACAACCAAGAACACCCTCCAGGGGGGCTGTACATCTAGAGAAAAAAGCCACCCAGGGTTTCCTGTAGCTGGTTCCCCCCCACTCCCAGGGGGGCCCTGCGCTGCTCCCCTCCATCCCTGAGGCAGTGTTGCACAGAGCCCCCCTCCCTCTGGTCCCTTTGCAGGGGAGGAGGAGGAAGGGAAGAGCCCTGCCTGCTACAGTGGCTCTGTGACAGCCCAATCTGGCTTGGGCACAGGGAGCCAGGAGCAGCCCGGGCACACAGCTCCCATATCCTCAGCCCAAGCCACAGCCAGCTGGGAAAGGCCCTGCCCTCATGGCCTGACCCAGCCTAGCTCCTCCACGACCACTTTCAGCTGCACTTGCGGGCTAGCCTGGCTCAGCCCTGCAGCCCTAGCCCCAGGTGGGGTGAGTGGATAGTGGGGCAGGGCCCTTCCCAGCCATCTGTGGCTTGGACTGGGGCTGTGGGAGCTGTGCGCCTAGATTGTTCTTGGTCCCCCATGCCTAGGCCAGGCTGGGCTGTAACGGAGCCGCTGCAGCTGACAGGGCTCTCGCCCTCTACCGTGGGGCAGGGGGTGCTGTGTGAGGCGCTGCCTTGGGGCTCAGGGCTGGAGAGGCAAGGTGCTGGGCCCCACTGTGGGGCAGGAGTGGAAAACTGGACGCAGGAAGCCCTTGGTGGCTATTTTCTCCAGCAGTACAGAGCCCCCCTGGTGGGTGTTCTTGGTTGAGGACACTGCAAGCAAACACTAGGCTCTTTAGATTGTGCTTCTATGGTAGGGTCTGGCCAGAGCTCAGGCAGGGGCTGGACTAGACACTAGAGGACTTCTGGAGGTCCCTGCCAGCCCTGCTTCTCTGGGATTCCTCTTTCCTTTCCCACCTTTGCCTCAGGCCCAGGGCCGGGGTCTGGCCATGCTCCCACTCTTGCTGCTTGACCCTTCTCAGGAAGGAAGATGATGAAAACACTTGATGAAGAAGTGGGGTTGTGAGTACACTCTTTGCTTTTGCATCAGCCAGCAGACCAGGGTTGGCAGCCCTCAGGATTGTGGATTGTGCTGCAGCTCTACATAAGGAACAGCAATTAAAGTGACTGGGCCCTTTCCAGGCATAGTCTCTCCAAGCTTGGACAAGGCTGCAGTCTAGCCCTAAGCAGGAGAGAAGAACTTGTAACTCCCTAAACGAGGGGTTGGCAACATGCTACTGGAACCACTGGATCTGGCCTGGGGAGCCGGCAGGCTTTATCTCTAACTGCACCCATGCTGGGGCAGCAGGAAGCTGCTCAGGAGGTTGGGCAACTGGCCCACATTGCCATGACTCCCCACTACCCATACTTCCCCACCCTCCCAGCTTCAGAGTGGGTGCATCTTCCAGCCAGTGGGGAACTGAGCTGGGGCTGAGTAGCTTCTAGCTGTGCCCATGCGGCAGTCTGGGAGGTGGGGGGACTAGGTGGCAGCGGCACCAGTGAGGACATAGTTCCCAGCTGCCCAGCCTTGGTGCAGCTCCCCTTGCTGCTGACACTGCTGAAATCATCCAATCCAGACCAGATGGTAGCTGAATTGCTCCAGCCTACAGCTTGGAAAGGTTGCCAGCTCTTGCCGTACACCACTGATTCTCAACCTTTTTAAACCCCAGGCATCCCTCCATAACTTCTATCAATTTAGCAGCTCCCCATTTCAAAACTAATTTAATTATTATTGCGTGTAAAACATATTATGACTGGAAACACATTTTTTTTAAACAGGTCAACCATTCAGAATGTTTTTGACACTATAGATTCCTACTTGAAACCTCAGTTTACTTGTGAATCGTGGATGCTAACAGACATGAAAAAACAAAACAAAACAGCGCTTTACTGGAAAAGGCAGTGTGTTAGTTTGACCCAGCTCTGCAGCATCTGTATAGATCGTGTGATTCAGCGGGGCTTTTTGGTGCTTTTATCTAATAACTGATTTAATCAGCTTTAGTTAAAAGTGCCAAAAAGCCCTGCTGAAGCACGTGATCTATACAGACATTGGGTGAGCCAGGTCAAAATAATGTGATGTCTCTTCTGGGCATACACTGCACTCAGTGTAGCAGTGTGCTGAGCTTAAAATAAAGCACCATTTTGGGTTTTTTTTTAAAATGTCTGTAAGCAGTGTGTGTGAATCAAACACTCTAGTGAACAGTGCTCATATTACATGGCACACCACAGCACGTTTAAAAGTAGCTTACAGCATCCCAACCGAGGATCACGGCTCTAAAATGTTAGCCGTTGAACAGGTTAAGAAGTAGAAGGTTATAATTAACAGTGATCAGATAAAATTTTAAAATGGTCATTTCTTCTTACAGTGAGTTAGACCGGCATTTTTGTCCCATGAGAAACTGTAGAAGCCTCTTTTTGGGTAGGTATTTAAAACGAGCCTGGACTAAACACCTGATTGTGGCATAGGCGATTATTCTGCAGTAGCTGAAACATGATAACTCAACAGGGTCCTTTCAAACTACCTCTCTTATGATAGCCAGAGAATTTCCAGGTAAAACCTTGATCCCACTGAAGTCAAAGGGAATGCAGCCACTGTCTTGAATAAGCACCAGATTTCACCTTCCATGCTGTTTCAAACAACAGGTAGGTTACTGCAGGGATTCATTTTGATCAGAATATTTCATCAATTTGCAGAAAATACCATAAAGTTAGCATACAAACAATTATTCTTAATTATCCAGAAACACAAACCTGTATTTTCCACCTACCCTGCCAGTGAATGCTTGAGAAGACTGTGCAGTGTCATCCACAGTGATACCAGAGATGTTGAAATGGTGGCCACAAGATCCTGGGCCAATTTTCAGGTTCTCTGCTCGATATATCTTGTGTTCATTTGTAGCACCTTCTAATGGCTCCAAAATGTAGGTTTTATTTTCAAATACAATAATTCCTCTGTTATGGAAAAGATCAGAAAAAGATGCACCTGCTGTTAAGTGCTGATGAATGTTTGTTTTCAGCCAAGTCATGGGCTTTAATAATAATGATGAAATATGAAAAAGTAAAATGCGTTTTTTACAATGTCAAGCTCTGCTAGGGTAGGAGATATCAGAGTTGTATATTTGTTGTCTTGGCATATTACGCTTTATAAGGCTGAGAGAGAACTTTCCTTTTCTGAATTGGGTGTTGTAACGCAAAATTACATTAGTGTTTTATGGCATTTTCTATTCTTTCAGAGATGCATCACCACTGGAGTGGAGTCACAATACATTTGCATGGGAGGACTCCTACTAAATAGTAATGAACAAGGATGCAGGGAAATATTTTCATAAGGAAAACTACAGAATGGAAGTATTAATGAAGATCAGGTACATGCATTATACTTTGTAAAGTGAACACTGATGCTAGCATCGAATCTGCCAGATTAAAGTTGCATTGCAGTATCAAAATGAATTACTGAAATGAAGGTCAGAAGTAAAATCCAGTAGACTTCTGTTTAGCACTTCCTGGCCCAAGAATTGCAATCTGTAGTGCAGTAGCACCTGACAGCCCAAAAGCTGAAAGACCTTTGCAAACATTGATGAAAGAAGTCTTGCTATACCCTGCCAGCTACCATATATAAGAAAAACCCCAGACTTAAAGAAATAAAGTAATTTACTCAAAGTCACACAAAAAATCTGTGGAAGAACTCGACACGGTCTCAGAATTTCCAGATTCTTGCGCAGTGCTATACCAAGAATACCACACTCCCTTGAATAGCTCAAATAAGAGTTATATATGAGGATCTTTTTCTGGGTGGTCTCCAGCCATTTTGACCTGTTATATAGAGTAAAACTGCTGTAAACCTCGTGAATCCGTCTAGGTAAGGACTCCCTTTGCTTAGGGGAATATTTTGGTGGCAAAGAGATAGAGTAGTGCTGTTGCCACCCCCATTCCTCCCTGCCAGCATAGAGAACACGGACAGATTGAGTGTGGGTGCACCTGTGTAGGCACCAGCAATCCTTAGCTGGGAAGAAGCTGGTGGTAGTTGGCATAACATAAAGGAGCCTATCAAATATTATTGGAGTTGATAATCAAAGCTGCACATTTAAGGATGTGCCACAGCATCAAAAGTCTGCTTTAATTTATATTAGAAATTGTGGCCTGTGACCTGGCACACATGGGTGTTAGGGTGGTTCTATGGCCAGGCTTCCAGCTGCAAGGTGAAAGGTAGTCAGAGCACCTGGGCACAGTGAACACAAAGTGCTAGCTGTTAGAAACAGCTTTTATTATGAAAGGTGATCCTGGGCAGTGAGGATGCTCCCTGAGGATCCTCTGTTGGCTAAAGGTTATAGAAAGGGAAATTTTACCAAGAGGTATCAAAAGACAGTGGAGATGGCTGCATACTATAGTAACTGAGCAGAACTGAACTGGGCATCAATAGATCAGATTTCATGGGGTAGCTGAGTAAGCAGTCCATGTCAACTCTCTATGGCTGTTTCTCTTTCTGTAAAATGGGGATTGCATTTACCTGTTGCAGAGGGTTGTTGTGAGTCTTAAATAACTAGAACATTGGCTGAAAAATTTTATAATAATGTACAGTATCATTCATTTCTCCCACATCCGTAAATTACAGGAGTATTAATCACTGAATACTGGCAGAATTTCAGTTGGCTATAATTACATTCTACCTCTCTGAAATTATTACAAAAGTTTCAGTTGTCTAAGACATTTTTCTTTAACTCCTGCCCTAAGGTGCTGCCTATTGCTGATGCATGCCAGGGAATAGCTATTATTTTTCAGTCCAGAGCTGGCTGCATTTCGGTGGCGTGTGATCCTTGTGTGCATGAAGCGTGTACTGTTTATATGTCTGTTTGGGCTCATGATGAAGGTGCAATGCAAGTATAAAATATTACAATTAATATTACAGCAGCATGTGTCTCTGAATGCTTCCCATGCAGAAGTGAAAAAATGGGACCCAGCAGGTTAATGAGCACCATAAATGCTGATTTTAAAGAAAAAAATAAAAGAAAAATTATTAGGAAAAAGCTGTGTTAGCTGGAATGGAAAGGAATAATGAAGAAATTCAAGGCCCCTAGCCCCATTTCCAATTAACTGAAATTTAGTTCCAAGCTGACGGCACAATTTTAGTATAAAATTACTTTAACATTGGTTCAGCCTGCCCAACAAGAGATCGTTTCTCAGTTAACTCTTAAAGTGGAAAATAAAGATTGGATTTTCACCCTGTTGAAAATGCTAAGTAGCATCATCTTTAAGAAAAGGGGCACAATACACTGGTCTGAACACAGGACCAAGATCCAATAAATCATTTGTCACTGTCTTATCAGCCCTTGACATGCAACATAGGGTCATATTTACCCCCCTTATAGGCAAGCTTTATGGATTATTAAATCTTTATGAAAACACTGGAAACATTAAAATTGCTATAGATGGGAAAGGTAGTAGTTGATTACTGCAGCAACCCATGTGACAATTGCTGAAGTACAGGATTTTTAAACATGTATAACCTAGTGATAAATATTTCTTCCAAAACCTTTGGTATATAAACTGAAAACCAGTTTTTTCACTGCTTGAAAAGTCTGAAGGACAGATGATTCAGTATAAGGAGTGGCATGGGAAAAGATGAGGTAGGGCAAAGAGTAGAGAGACCGTGAAGGAATCCATTGCTTAATGTTTACCAATGTCAGTAAGTCAAAACTTTAAAAAACACCATTGTAGAATTTTCTCATTAAGTGTAATGTTTTCAAGTGCATATGAATGGAACAGGGCAAGTGCAAAGTAATGTCAAGTAGTAAAGCCCTAAGGCAAATTATCCACCAGTTTTGAGTTACTAGAAAATTTCCACATAGTAGAACTATCATTTAAACTGTTCTCTGATCTTGTTTACTCTTTTTAAGATATCCAGAATAAGGCTAAGAAGTTGGGAACTTGGGACAATGCATCCCCCCTTTTTTCCATAATTGGCAGCTTGATAACACAGCTTAATTAAATAATTGTGCCAACCCTGCAGCCCCAGAAGCTGGCACAAGAAGCAAGGGGGAGTTTCCACTTTTATACAGAAAATCGTAAGGTGTAGGGTCACAAGCTAATGGGACCAAGGGAGGGAACAGATAAAAGGTAAAGAAACATCCACACCGTGGTAGCATACATTCAGCACCTTCATTGTCCCTCCCCCCCAACACACCTCCGGAGATGTCCCCAAACAAGACTTTAGGCCCTAGAGTGCTCAAACAGCAGTCTGCAGCTGCCCCAAAGTCTGAGCCCAGCTCCTTCAGTCCAGTCCTGGCTGACAGCCAGCGAGATTTCCATCTCCACTGCATACTCCTCTGTGTAGGGCTGCCCATGTTCTCCATGCACCCTGCTCTCTCTTTCTCTTACTCCAGCTTCAAGCTTCCTTTTTCTTTTCTCCCCTCTTTCTTTGCCCCCCGCCCCCAGCCCCTGGGGGTTTCTGGCAGTTGTAGTCCAAATTAACAGTCAGCACGGCTCTGCAGACTGCCCCTTGGCTCCTCCTGCTATTCCATGCATCACATTCACATTCCATAATGGTTGTATTCTTTTCCTGGTATAATTAATCACTTCACTCTGGAGGCTTCTAGCAACAATAACAGAGGAGAATTCCATGCTTTTCTGTTTGAAATGGGCAATTCCAACATCCTCACTATACTGATAGCCCCTAAACAATACATAGCATCTAAATAAATATTCAATTCAAACGTAAGCTTGCACAGTTTATTAAAAAATGTAATTTTTTCACCAAAAATTCCCCTTTAATTATTGCCCATTGTTGGAAGAAAGCTTTCACTTCTCCATAAGCATCATGATGCCAGGGGTTTATACAAGAAATTACTTTCACTTACAATGTGCAAGTTGCAAGCAGCCATACCACTATTTCTAGAGTGCATCCCTTTTTAATGCCAGCTGTTGTTCATATCACTAACTGTCCACCATTTCCCTCCTACTGTATTGTCCCCAGGGATAGAAGGTGTGGATGCGAGGGCAGACACCTAGTTGAGCGACTCATCTCATCCCCTACTGGCACACCTAGACCAGGACACTCAATTTAGCCACTGAAATTCCTGCCAAGAATGACCCTGCAAACCTTTCAGAACAATTCTACCTTTGCATATTGTGCCAAAAATCATCAGATTCAACACAAGGGAAAATATAAATTTCAGTAGAATGCATTATTATTCTTTGTGTGCTGCCTACAGGATATCAGCCACTGGCTCCTGACCATTTGTAATAAGATAATGAATATCAAATATGAATTATTTTGGCTGGTTCTCTGTTTTCTCACTAATTTTCTTTTCCTACAAATGCATTTTTCCAGTGATCAGTGCCAAATACAGCACCTTAAAAATGTAGTTAGCTGAAAACTTCTATTTTCTTCCTCTTTTTTTTGGTGAAATGAGGTTGAAAGTAATAGTACCTTACAACCTGTCAGTATTTAGAATCCAAATCAATTCAATACAAATAAAATAAATCCATAATTACTTTTTTCTGTATACACTGTCATAGATTTTTCAAAACAGGCTCTATTACTCCCACGCTGGTTTTGCTTCTTCTTCCTGAACATGAGATTTTCTGTCTTCTGCATACTATAAATGTTTCCAAAGAGCCAAGACAGGATATGGCTCAGTTGGGATATTCTCTTTCAAAAGAAAACAGCCAATAGTTGGGATTTTTGCTGACTGGTATTTTGTTTAAAAAAATGAAAAGTAGTCAATGTTACAAGCCATTTAATTACACCATCAATATACTGCACACTGAATATTTCTGTGTGTAAAACTAAAAAAAAAAGGAAAATATTTAAAGAAAAAAAACAAGTCAGAAAATTATTTCTAGACATCTGTTGCCCAAGATTCATATCTTGGGCAACTGCTCCACATATTTATTTTTTGTATTAAAATATACATCCCTCCATAATTTAGGTACTAATTAATTGAAAATCACCT